CCTGCTGCACAAATTAATATTTGAATTGTGTGTAACTCTGGATTTTAAGCACTATACAATGTAGTAAGACATTACACCCAACCACGTTACATTTCTGCAGCAAGACAGTTTTTTTGTGGTATACAGTCTACTGTGGAAAGGGATAACTTTATAATTGCTTTTGCATATGCAATGATTTTTTCCTTTCTATAACAATACTGCACAGAGTATACCCACATCTGATACGCTGGAGGAAAAAATTATGCTATAACAGCTGAGTGAGACTAGGGATATCATGTTTGCAGAGATCTGAGATGGTCTTTATCAGCTATTTGTTTGAAAAGTCTCCATCCAAAAATCCCTCTTTCTCTAAATCCAATACAGAATATCGTCTTGTGTAGAACGAGTGTTTAACAAAGCACCCCCTAACAACTCTTCTTCTGAGGAATGACTACTCAGTATAATTTTCTCTAGTCATGTTGACCAGCATTTTCACTGCTTTCTCATGCTATCACAAGTATTATATGAATTGCATTGAAAAAATCTTGGACTCATGACCTTCAATGGCAAAATGGTGCTGCTAACTTCTGCACCATTGTAATAACTGTCGAAGAAATGTAAAGACAAGCAAACACACTAACATAAATGGAAACCAAAACAGTTACTTATGTTCTCATTCAAAAAATGGCCATTTTCTGACAGAAGGAAATCAGAAAAGGGCTAGAGCAAGTGTAACCAAAGGACTTTGCAGAACAGTGTCAGTAAATCTTATATTTAGTAGAAGGACGAAACAACTTTTCCACCTTCCCTCACATCTTACAGCACCACTACCAGCAGAGAGCTGGGATCAGTCATGAGGTAACAAAGCAGAGGAACGTGACAAAGCAGAGGAATGGATATCTGCTGTGCTTCAAGTATAAATACTGTTTTTTTTTTTTTAAAAAAAAGAAAATATTCATTTATGGATAGTACAATTGTATAGTTCTCAACTGCTGAGGCCTAATCAAGTCACTAGATCATTATGCCTTCTCTTTCCTCATGCATTTTGGGGAAAAGAAAAATTAAAATTAAGAGAATAATCATCAGAAGCTGAAATAGTGGTAGCATCTTGTCTAGAGTGCGTTGAGCATGCAGAGTGTTTGCGTTCAGATTTGACAGTGACATATGCAGGGACCCCCTGGGATTGTCAAATGAATTAAAACAAATCATCCTCACTGATTTCATGGATAAAATCAAACCATAGTTACACGCTTTCAAAACTGCTAAATTTCCTTCTGCATCTTTAAGCACAGTCTCTGTTAACAAGCCAGAGCAAAGCAATAGCCACCTTGATCTGAATCTACTTAAGTGGAGAATATTCACATTATAAGAAGTCTATAAGCATAAAAACCATGCCTCAGAGTCAACAGTTGGTTTTGACTTGACAAAATACATGTATTTTAAAATCCACTCTTATACTGTAGCTTCATTACTTCCATCAGTGCTGTTAGCTCTTTAAAAGATAACTGTACATCCTGGCTCATCCTGCACATGGAATGAAAAACAACTACTCAGATCAGCAGAAATTCACTGTTGGCTCAGCTGTAAATGGAACATCAAACACTAAGTTAAATATTCACACCCGGAAGTGGACAACTACTGATCTAATGCCTATGCAACGTACTTTGAATCAAAAAACAAAAACAAACAAAAAAGTGTCTCAAAGTAATATTAATCTATATGAAGATTATTCATCCCATAATACCAACCAAATTTAAGTATGCAGATGCTACAGCACCAAGAATAATCCACACTGAAATAATCCATATAACACAAACAACAATGAAAACCCAATTTTATAAATCATAATGTTAGATAAATCCATTTTAAAAAAAACCTCAAACAACCAAACAATGCAAAACCAGCACCTTCTGTGAGCGTCCTTATTTCTGAATTTATATGAAATCTTTTCAGAATTCCTAAAATACTGAGAAAAAAAATAGAATTTTAAGGTATTGAATATACTACATTGAGAAAAAAGACAGAGTTATTAACAGAGACATCTAATATAAGTTGTGATGGCTGTTTCTAACCATAATTTTTAAGAGAATGAAAAACAATCAGGATGTGCTGAAGCTAAATTGTTATAGACATATATTGCTAGGAAGGCTATACTTAGGAGCAAAGCTGCTTAAATATGCATGCAGTTTTATTCTTGAATCAAAAACTATTCCTAATAAAATACTTAATGATTATGCAACACAAAGTTGATTGGGTGCAGTCAAAGCAAAACATTTACAGAGAGTAATATAGTGAATAACAATGCACGCACAATGACACCGATGTTAAGGGGAAAGATGACATGAAAAATTCAGATGTTTGATGAAGACAGCATCATATCTAGCTAGGAATCAGTCAGTCAGTCAGCTCACAGACTATTTTGAAAAATGACCAGTCATTTTTTGCATGGAAAATAGTCCTGGTTGCTATTACGGACCGACATAGAAGGAAGAAAATTCTGTGGACCCATATGTTGTCCTCTAGAATATGCCTGGCAGCTGTATGAATTAATTTGCAGAGTCTAAACCACAAGCTTGCAGCTGTTTCAGAGTAAGAAAGTGAGGGAGGAAGTGTTCCTCACCTACTATTGCATTATGTTACTAAAGGGAGGAGAAGGATTGGACATGTGTTAGAAAATTGTCCAAGAATGTTTCTATTAGTTCATAAAGACGGCTTCTGAGTTTTAGAAACTACTTGAGCAGTTTTAGAAAGTAGTTTTGCAGTGAAGATTTAGGGTTCATTCCAGCACTCTTATTTACATTATGTATTTTCTTCCCTCAGAAACTGCTTGTCTCACTGTAAAAGATGTGGAATCTGGCTCTAGACTTTTAGAGCTTTAGAACTCAGAGACATAAAATTTTAAAGAAACATTTTTTTTAGTAAAGGCAAATTTAAGTCCAGAGTAGTTTTCTCAATTTGAAAATTCCTTTTGCAGGATTGCAGCCTCAGAAAGTAGCACACATTATTCACCCTTTAACCATGCCTCCTACCAGGTGAGACTGATACCACTGCTTATTCTTTCAGTTCCTCCAAGTTTCTCATTACAAAAGCACATTTTGTGTGTCTTTAAAACTGCCAAATTATAACTGTCAAAATGTTAAATGCCAAAATGTTCTTTGCAATAATCAAGACTGTTTCCTCAACAAATAACGTCACACAGAATAGTTTGGTCATTTCTGGTAATAAAAGAAGATGCATTGGTCAGACTTTGTTATTATAACGTTAACTACTTCCTTGTTCTAAATGAGGCTGGCATTTTCATTTTATTAAGGATTTCAAAACTGCCTTTTTGAAGGAAAACATCTTGGATCAGGAAGATGCTTTTTTTTTTTTTGCCATTCATACAAAAATCCACCCATGTTTGGCCTTATAAATCTGAAAAAATGCAGGTTTTGCTTTCTCAGTTGAGAGAACCTACATTTTTAGTACCTGATTTTCTCCGTGGTTCCACTTGTAT